ATTTCTTGTATAAATGTGACACTTAGAACACACATAGCAGCCCTCTATTTGCATAATCATGAGTTTGATATCAAATATATCCTCCTCAATACATGAGTATGCATATATAAAAGTTCCAAACAAATTTTGCAATTGTGGTAGAAAATATGCAATTAGAAGCTCGGAGTCAACATCTAATCCACAAAGGCTTTATTACAAGTGTGATTCATATAATAGCTTCAAATGGTGCAAAGTTTTCAAGCCGAAAGAAGGTCAAAGTAGGGGAAGTTGTTATGATAAGGATGGGTCGGGACATAGCAATATGCATGATGATTTGAAGCAATTGAAGAAGAAAGTGAAGCTGCAGCAAAAAGTACTCAATTCTGTTATGAAATTAGGTGTAGTGATGTGTGTAATAGTTGTTATTGTAATGATGAAGTGAACTATATTGTAATTGCAATGAAATTGGATAAAGTGGTAAATTGAATTCATTTAAGCTTAATTCTTCCAGTTTCAATCATGTGCACCAAAAATTTGGTTTCCTGTTCACATCACATCCCCAAAAAATTACAAAGAACATGTCCAAAAAAACCACAATAACATAGCACACAGTTGACTATTAATGTTCAAAAACTAGATTCCATAAACAATGTTGTTGTGCATTCAATAGGAAAGGGGTTTGGTGTTCATGCGGCTTTCTTTGCTTTCTTCTTGGTGTTTAAAGAGCTTGCTTCAGTTGTTGCATTCTTTTTCTTTGCTACACATGTCAACATGTTGTGGCCCATCTCAGTGCATAAGCTGCATTTAACTATGCTATGCCTCTTCCCTTTCCTTGCTTCATTTGGCCCTTTTCTTCTCTGCTTCTTTGGTTTACTTGCAGATCTTTTCACTGGTTGTGGAAGTATGTCAGGAGGTTGAATGAAGGTCATTAACTTGGGTCAGGCATTAGGTGCATATGTTCAACATAAGTGCTTTTGTATGCCCTCCCTTTGAAATAAGAAGATACAAAATCTACAAGTTGAAGCCTCTGGTGGTAAATCACCCTTAGCACATGTTTGCACGGGATCCCTGAATGTTGCCACTTCCCACAACTACAAGTTCCAGTCCCTAGCTTGATAGGAAAATGCACATGTTGGTCCCTCACCTCAAACTCATCATCACCACATGGAGTTGCATAGCAGAACCTGGACTCATCAGATCTTGTTTGTGGGATCTTGGTTGCATACTCAGTGAGGTCCCTATCACCCATGGATGTTGCTTTATCAAACCTTGGAGCCATCCTCTTCATGCACAATTGCCTTATAGCTGAAAAGTGGAAACCATATAAGGTAAGCAACACAACAAAAGCATTGTCAAACTGATGCTGGTAGACAACAAACCATTTAATTACCTTCAAGAAGTTTTAGAACAGGTAGATCTCTGTATGGCTTGGTGCAGGAATTGAATGATTCAACAAAATTGGTTGTGTTATGATCACAACAAAGTGTTGCATCAAACTGATGCCTTGACCAAACCTTAGTGGTATTGTTTTAGTACTTTGTTCTGCCTGAGGCTTGGATGGGCCTGGGAAAACCTCATCAGCTACTGGACTGTGAAACACTCTAAAATATGAGTCCTCAACAACAACCACAGGAACCTCTACAACAACAGTGTAAGGTTGTTGTTCATCAAGATCCCTCTAAGCTTCCTCTTCTTCAGCTAACCTCTTCTTTTTTTTTTCCATGTCTAACCTATTCCTCTAAGCCTTTTGTTTTAACCTTCTATGCCAACTAGCTTCAGCATCCTTAAACACCAAACCAGGACTTTTTCTTTCCTCCAACCATACATCTATTATTTCCTTACCCACATTCCACTCCCACATTTTCATCATATCACCATCAACACATAACTCCAGTTTCCTAGTACTAGGTTTGTTAACAAGCAAAGCAAAGTACTTAGGGAGCCACACATTTTGTGTAACACCCCAATAATTCTCTCTTTTAAAACCTGTAAAGACCTTTAACAATCTGCAAGTGAGTTACCGACGTGCTACCCCCACGTGTTCAAACGTTAAGGCTAGTTCAGAATTTAGCAGCGGAAAAACTAACTTAGTTATCAATAAGTTTCAAAACCAAAAATCAAATTCAAATTTAGTCTTACAAGTTGGAACCATTAAGGCCCTTATTTAAAACCCAATAAAAGTAGTGAATAAATCAAACCAGAGTTTAATTAAATCCAAACTTATGAAATTTAATAAACTGTGGAAATATCCAACACCCCACTCAAAATCCCACCACCTTGAAGTTCTGATTATGTAATCCAATCTACAAGTTTCCTAACATGATTCTAAGTCTTCCCACTCCTTAAACATGCTCCTAAAGTCAAGGTTTTCGTATCCTTGTACGTACCTTCAGTAAACGAGTTGGTTGACCACTTTAGGAACTAGAAATCGCCTTCTACAAAGTCCTCTCCTAAACCAAACAATAATAATTCAATCAATACTCAAGCAATATAATTTACAACAATACTAACTTACTTTAAAACCTTCAAAATTCAATTAAACAACACTTTAAAACCTACATTTTTGCTAGAATTAAAAGCTTATATATTATTCTTAAAATTTCCTACATAAAAACCTTAAAATACATACTAATTCATGAAATTACAGCTAGTTTAGAGCTTTATAAAAATCTGAAAATTTATTTTACACATGAAATCTTGAAATTATAGAAATTTTTATCACTACATACATTATATAGAAAGTTAGTAGACTTTAAACCCGAAAATTCCTCAATTCAATGTAATTAAAGACTCCAAAACAATAACCAAAAATCTGAAAATTTATTCTTGCAATTAAACTTTAAAGTTTCAAACTTTATAATCATAAAATAACCACAACATTTGTTTAATAAAATTAGAGACTTGAAACACATGAAATCAATACAATTTAAACCCAAGATTAAAACTTAAATAATCTAAAAATTTATTTTAAACATTAAACCTCTTCACTACCAAAGGTAGTGAGTTTTCATTAAAACGTTGTTTACACACGAAAAACACTATTATTTTGTAAAAATCAAACGAGTTAGAATCTAAACGTGATTAAAACGTGATTAAAAAAAATTAAGAACGGAGATCATAAGTTGATTACAGAAAACTGAAAATTTGTTTTTATGCTTAATTAATCATTAGAAATTCAATAGGAACAAAAGCCCCAAATTAATTGATCATTAGAACCCTAAAATCCCAATTTAACTAAATTAAAACCCTAGGTTTAAAATTACAAAATCTGAAAATTAATACAACAATTATAATATGAAATTATTAGTTTAAAATATCAAAAACTTGATTTTGATACTAAATAAATTAATTTCAAGCAATAAAAACCAAAACCCAAAAATCAATTACATAAGCTTTATGAAAATAATAAGAAATAAAGGAGGAAGAAAATAAGACTAACCTTTTTGTGTGGGGAAAATTTGGGGATTCATGGGGTATTTATAGGCGAGAATTGTAGGGTAGAATTGGGCCTCATGAAAATAATGGGCCAATTAAATAAACAAATGGGTTAGGCTTTGTTTTTATAATAATGGATTGTGAGATATAGATTCATAAAATAATTTAGCCTAAAATAATTTTTGACCCAAATTAATAATTTGAAAATTAAATTCTAGAAAAATACAAATAAATATTATAAATAAAATAAAATTTCATTTATAAAATATTTAAAAATACGGGGGATTACATTTTGCTTGACATAGTCCTCAAACATAAACTCAAACAAATCCATTAAACTAGTCCGGTCTGTATCATCAACCAACACATCAAAACCACCATCTCTACAATGGACATTCAGCCACACTTTACTCATCCTATCAACAAAAATTACCAAGTTACTCATCACACACACAATTCACATCCACACGCACACATGCCAAACCACATAATATTCTAACACTTCACAAAATCTCATTTTAATGAATCAAAATCACAGAAAAAGTGTAACCCTAACATACAAAAAAATACATTTGCCACAGTCAAACCCATAATTCAGTAAAATAACATGATTTTAAACTTAACATCACAACATTTAACTCAACCAACCATTCCCTAACCCTAATTCGATTATCAGGAAAAATTGACAAAATCTGTACTCGAATTGAAGATCGATGGACAAAGTGTTACCTTGCGTGCTAGTTTGGAAGCGTAACAACACTTTTCAAGCTTCGATTGACTACCACTGCTCCCCCTCCCTGCGAACAACGACTTCAATTCCCCCAAATACAAGCGCAGTTACTACTTCATGCTACTAACGATTGCTGATCAAAATTTAGACTTAGAAAAAGCTTCCACCTTGATCGAATTGCAGGGTTGACTGATGAAGACTTTGCATGAAGAACAGAGAAAGGTGAGAGGATGAAGACTTCAACTCCTCAACTTTTAATTATTTAAGTTATTAGGTCAATTCAGGGAGTCAAAAGGCTTTATGGCGCCATTAAACACAATAAAGGCAAAATCGTCAATTCACATTAACGGAGAACTAACGGGCAGACCTCAGTAATGGCATGACATGACATTATACTGTTTGTCAGTGGCATTTGGTGAATTTTGAAAAACCCGATGACATTTGGTGAATTATTAAAGTGCTCAGTGGCATTTGGTGAAATAGCCGTAAAAACAATTATACTTCAAATTACGCTCCTCCTTCATCTACAAGTCCCTCGATTGTGACTTTTCTCGTCATCGCCTCACTTGTACATACGTTTAAAGTTTCTCAATAGAACCTTGTCTTTCTCTCTTGTTACAAGTAGGTTTTTTCTTTTCACATTTGCTTTAAGATTGTGACTTTTCTCGCCATCACCTCGCTTGTGCGCAAATTTAAAGTGCCTCAATTGAACCTTGTCCTTCTCTTTTGTTACAATTTAGTTTTGTCTCATCACATTTGCTTTGCACGGTTACATCTTATCGACGAATAGACAAGATTGCACCATTTAATCTAGTGTCAAAGCATTCAAATTATTACATTCACACCTTGATTGGATATTTGGATTGAACAAGAAATAGCACGAGTGGAAATTATAATTACCAAGTAATTGTAAGCTACAGCTGACTTCATCAACAACCTCCACAACTCTCATGCTTGCTTTTCTTTTATCAATTAAAAAAAACCATAACTATCACGTTTCTAAAAATAAATGAAAACTTACTATTATTCTAATCCAAAAATTCACCATTTTCTCTGTAATTTCCCCCTTCTTCTCTCCTTCAACCTCTTCATTCTCTTGCTTTTTCTCTCTCTCTCCCTTCTTTCTCTCTCTACCCTTTTCACTCCTAAGCTAGGGCTACAATACCAGGTACTCCTTTTCCCTTTTCTTTTAATATTAATCTTTCAATTTTCTGTTTTTTATATGCTACTTTTTCTGGGTTTTTGATATCCTTGAATCTGAGTACAATTAATTGAGGTTTTTGACCTTATTTAAATTCTGGGTTTTGATAAATAGTGATTAAATTAAAATGGGGTTCTGTTTTTTTCTGGATGTTTGCTTATATTTGTGGTTAATTTGTGTTTTTGAACCATGTTTTTTTGCTGGGTAGATCGGATTATCTTATTTTGTGTGTTAATTGGTTATGATTGATGGGATTTTTTAAGTTCTCCTCATTATTACAGTGTTGGAATCTGTGTGATTTAGTTCCTAATTATCTTTTTCTCCAAAAGTTTCTATTTTTTATAATTTATGTTTTGGATTTTGAGCTGTTTAGCTTGTGGTTTATGGAGTTATTGCTAATCATGTATTCTAGTATCTCTTAGGCATTAAGTTCCAATTGGTATGGTCTATAAGCTAGAAAGTCAAAAGCTTGGTTTCTCAAAATCTATGTGAAAGAGGGTTTCAATTAGTGGAAAAGTTATTTGAATCTTCAACCACTAATTCCTAGTTGCTAGTTTTTAGCAATAGTACTTATTGCCAAATGCCAACCGAGTTACTCGGTAAATGTGTGATTTGGTTGCGTATATTACAACGATGTCTAGCTGAATGGATTTGATGCTTGAGTTTTAACTGACCTTTCATTTTACTCTCTGGATTCTATGTATTTTTGCCAACATTGAATAGAGTGATAATTCATGAAGGACCTTTAACTAAAAGTTTAAGTATTGTAGCCAACGGTCTTGTATAGATTGCTGATGTGCTGTTGGCTATGATTCCCTCATAGTCAGCTCATCACTATTTTCTGAAACACCTATGACAATGATGTAAAAGCTGCTAGGTTTCTATAAGTGTTAAGGAATTGAGGAGCTGTAATATATTCTTTAATTAGGGTGAATTTCTCTCATTTTGCCCTTTGCTTTCATTCTCATGATAGACAAAGCCTCTTCTTACTTAGATGTTTGGATATGGCTGAAGAAACCGCAAATAAGATCTGCTTAAAGCTATCATTTAATCACAAAATGTCTGACAATGTTGCTTGCAGCATTTTTCTATTGTGTCTCTTGTTCCATTTGATGAGGAGAAAATGGGTTTAAACTGCATTCATGATGTTCGCATCTCATTTATTTATTTCTAGAATCTTTGCCTGGTAAGAATTTGGCCTTGTCATTTTATTAGTAAATTCTTATTGCTTTCCTCGCTGAGTGTAAATTTATCTTTAGTACTGCATGGTTGAATTATGTTAAAATAGAAGGTGATAGGAGCTAAATTGATTCATATTTGATGCTTGTAGGTCTCCTAGCATGGATGATGATAAAGGGCTTGAACTCAGCTTGGGATTAGCATGTGGTGGTTCATCTTCCACATCAAAGGATAGGAGCAGTAACTCAGCTGATGCTAAAACTGATCCAGATGAAAGAACCAATAAAATTCTAAATGATTTCAAAAATTTCCTTAGTGCTGTTCCACAATCACTTCCCAAAAATGATGCTGTGAAACCTCAAGAAAACTTCTTTAATAATTTGCAGCAAAATGGTAATGGTGAAAATGTCTCCGGTGATGAACCTGGAGTCGGTAATAAACGTAAAAGTACGTTTGAAGAGATGAATGACCCGAAGAAACAAGAGACAGATTCTCGTAATTCTGTTATACAAGATAAGGACAAAATGTCTCACATATCAATTACGACTGATGAGGGATCGACCGCAGATAATGAAGATGTGGCAGAATCTGAAGCTGAGGGTTCAACGTCCAAATTGGCCTCTCACCATGAAGATGGATCTAGAACACCCGGAGGAAGTGGTAGCTCCTCTCAGGCTCCTAAGGAACTTTGTGGAAAACCAAATAGCAGTGCTCCTTTTACTGTGCAAATGAATAACTTGAATGTTCCTTACTCTATAACCATCAAAGAGCCTCCATCAGCTAGTGCTCCAAGTACACCAAGTTACTCACTACCAGGAATGATGCAGGGGATCACTTCTGCAAATGGAGAGCGGCCAAGGCTGCACGCTACAGCTCTAGGGAGTTTGCCAATGTCATTTGGATATTCTCCTGTCCAGCTTCCAGTGTTGGACAATAAGGATAGCCCTTGGAGAATGGCTACTCAGCCTCAATCCATCCCTGCAACTTATGCTGGAATATCTATATCAACTTCAGGTAAAAAGGATATATATCACCAATAATCGCAGTATGAGCTCAACCTTTACTTTGTGTTGAATGTGTTTCAGACTTTCAGTTTTCTCGTGGTGTATGATATTCTATGTATTTTTTGTGTTAATTTGGAAGGGGGTCCTCAGTCAGGTGATTAAGATTTGATGCTGTTTTTTAGATGCCATCTCATAACAACCAAAGACTGCATGCAATGGCTTGTTAGTGACTAATGGTATTGATAGCTCCTGTCTATCAATATAGTTTATGTTCTTTTGAAGATTCTAAAAATTTTGTAGACAAGGAAACCATGAGATATTTGTATCTTAAAAACCTCTCTGTTCCTTGATATGCTTTATGCTAGTATGTGTGATTATGAGCTTAATGTCAGGTGCGACATGATACTGCAATGAGCAAAGCTAAACTTAGAAAAGGCTCCTTAGTAGGCTTAAATTTAAATCCATATTCCATAAATTAAATTAAATGGGATAGCTGAGCTATTGACTTGGGAATAAAAATTTTACATTTTACAGAATGCTCATGAGGATCCCTAACCATAAGAATGCTGTAATCTGAAGAAATCTAATCTTAGCTGTAACTCTTAACCTGATCGCAGGTAGGGTTATGCTCCAACTCTGCCAACTCAATCCTGAATTTTTGGAGCTCGAAATTGGGTCAGTCAATTTGAGCTGTGCAAAGCCGAGCTATCCTAAGCTCAATTTTAGCTTGTTGTGTTATCAAATAGTTTGACTTCCCATAGTGGTTACCAAACATCAAACTTTAAACTGGATTGCTTATGTGAAAAATGATGTGGGTTCCAATTAGTAAATAGCACTTCTCATGGTTGAGGAACTCCTTACTGTAATTTCTTTCAACTTCATTGTTGACTATTATCCTTACTTTAAATGTGGTGTCCTCCATTAACATGCAGTTCCAATGCAAGCTATCAATAGCTCATCTGAGTCTGCACGGCTTGATGTGCACCCTTCAGAGCAGCCAAAAGGTCAACCTCTACTAGTAGCTGAGGAAGGCTCCTCTTCCCAGGTTGAAGGTGATGCAAAGGGACGAGGAAGCAGCTTTCCATCCGAGTATCCAGCCATAAGGCCAGGAATTGCCTCCGAGATGAACTTTGGTGGATCCGGGTCCTTTCCGAATTTACCTTGGGTATCTACAACAAGTCCAGGACCCAATGGTAAGACGATTTCGGGTGTCACATATAAGTACAATGCCACCCAGATAAAGATAGTATGTGCCTGCCATGGAGTCCATATGTCTCCTGAAGAATTTGTCCGGCATGCTACAGAGGAGGAACAAACTCCTGTCACCACCCCCAACTTAACATCCCTACGAAGCACCAATCCCACAACTTCTGCGAAATCCTGAATGTTTGTATCTCAAGTAATGGATAGAGCAAAGAGTTGGAGTGAAGATTTCATGAAGGTATGTAAAATCTTCATTGCTCCTAATAGAGATAATTTATGAGCTGCCATTTAAATTCATATTAACAACTGGGTAATCTCATCAAGAATTTATTTACAAAGTCTTCTCTGCTAGCGATATTAGTGAGAGTCTGAGAGATAAAACTTTGTACATCTGAGTCTCCTCATCCGACGTGAGAAGCAACTATTGTTTATCAGGGTAGCTTGAATCCAGGAATCAGCATTGTTACTATATTGGAAAGTACGGAGTATGATTTTAGCATTCACTTCTGTAAATTCTGTAAGGCTGAGCTAGCTGCTTGTGATAATACTAAGTATGAAAATCTAGAGCTAGTTTGGATAGTGTTTTTCCTCCTGGATCCATGTAATAATATTTTTGAATCTTGTAGAGCAGTTTTCTGCAAGGATATGTAAACCATCTACTACTAATAAATGTCAGTTTTTTGCTGTTTTGTTGCTACCAGAAGAAAATTCAGATCTGTTTTATTGACAGTTTTGGCACAAAAAATCGATGCAATTATAGGAGTATCTTAATACAAGTAGCAATATGTTACAGTAGTACATGACTGAGTTTTGAGTCTAATCAGAGTGCCCTGCGCCGTTGGCTTTGTTATGTCTGAAGTTATCCATGAATTGGCGGATTTGTGTATTATTGTACTTCGCCCCATCCTAAATAATATACTCTGTAGGTTACATTTGATCTTCGTAATTGTCCTTAATACTATCCAAGATTACAACCCTCCCAAACCAATAGTCGTATTTATTAGGATTACTTGGTAAAAGGTACGGAAAAGGGTAATATGCTACGAATCTAATTCAAAATAAACACCGATATCAATACTGAAGTCGCGATAGCAAGAATCGTTGTGGAAAGTGGATGGACAATGCTCATAATTTGATGAACAACACACACACAGCATTCTTTTTCATATGCTTAATCTAGAAATCCAAGCTGTAAGAAGTTATAAATCACAAAACAAGATATCCGGCAGCTATTCTTGAAGAGCGGCACATGGAAATGAGGAAAGTATTCCTTCATCCAAATATAGAAACTGCATGTGTAACATAACATTTATTGCAATGACCAAAAATTGTTTTATTTATACATAATAATAAGAAAGAAAGAAAGAAAAACTATGTGCTTGAAAACCAGGCTTTAAAAAGGTAATTATAAATTCACAAATTAGGCATCTTTCTTACCACATTTTAATATTGGAGTCAAGTGCAATTTAATTTAGATGATGATGTCTGTAACTGTGTTGCACAAACAGCAGAGCATGCACTCAGAATTTAGGATAGTTGAAATTTTTTAGTTTTTGATTAAGAGTCTACAATGATCATTAACTAAACAAAGTTTTTGTCATTTTTTTTTTGGGCAACATCTAACACCTTAAGAATTGCATAACATTATCAAGAGTAAATAAAGGATTCGGTATGGTTGTTAAGTTTTGGGGTGGTATTCAAGCAAATCTGTAATACGCAGTTTTTGGTGTAGAAATCAAGATCGCCAATCTCTCTACACCAAAAAAGAAAAAAAATATAAAGGAAGTTTCGATAAAATTAAACTTATGACTACTTGTTAATGTAATTTTGAGAATTAAATATATAACCACACAGTTCAATTTAGAACACTATAAAGAACAGTCAAGTGCCAGCTACAAATTGGTCTCATAACAAAAATCCAAAATTATGCTCCTTATTCATCGATGAAAAATTTCATAAAAAATTGTCAAGTGCATTAATTAGCACAAAAAAGTTGGTACTTCTTACTTGTAATACACATAATAACACATATATGTTGCCATAAAACATAGTGTTAATGTCAAACCACAATATGTAATAATTTACTAATGATAATTTGGGTTAATGGCAAACACCGAGAGACTCCTTAAGATAGGCCACATGTTCGAATCCCCTCTTTTTAAAATTATAAATTATAATGTCTTTGTGGCTTATTCGGACAATCTTGTTCATAGTATTATTTTATTATCTAAAAGTTATTAAAAAATAATTTAATAAAAACGGGAATATGCTAATTAAGTTGGCAACACGTACAAAACATATGATATCATTAGTTTTAGGTTAATTATTAAATAAATTAGGGCAGTTAGTTTATGACTTCAATACTTCATATCCTCTAAATTTTTATTACAAAAGTAATCAAGTCAGCTGCCTCCATTTCATGATCTGGCTCTCAAATTATATATCTATTCCCAATATAATTTGCACAAGTGCAGCTTCTACCTCTAATATGTTTCCCCACTAAACTCTTTTAATTAATTAATTAAACATCTTATTATAAAATTAATCATATAATTATAACCTAAGAGACAGAACAACTAACCATACTCATCTTCATGTAAAAGGTCAGCATCTCTTTAGATAAAGGAACCAACCCAGAAAAGTGACAAATAGTATATTGAAAGGAGAAATTTAAGGAGATAATTATCACATAAATATAATAAATAATACTTTATATACTTCGTAGTATCTACAAAAAAAAAAATTAGAAAGACTTTCTTGCACTCAAACTAATTTCTTCCCATTTTTTCTTACAATGCTTTCCTACATAACAAGTACATGAACAAGAAAACTTCTTGTTCATCATATATTTCTCCTTTTGCACTGGCCTAGAACCCAAAAAATAAATTACAACCATGATTTTCCCTCTTATGATCGCGTTAATTAGCACGCGATTAGTTAATGCTCAAGACAATGATCAACACACCTCTACATCTTCAAATTTTCAACCAAGCCTATTTGTAGTAATCGGAGTACTTTCCTTCATGTTTTCCTTAACATTAATCTTACTAATTTATGCGAAATTCTTCCATAGTCCACCATCAGCAATCCATAGTATTAGCCGCAATGGAAACACCCAACAAGGCGGTATGTTTGGCACCAATACAAGGTTCTCAGGGATTGATAGAGAAGTGGTGGATTCCCTTCCTTTCTTTAGGTTCGCGTCTCTTAAAGGATCGAAACAAGGTCTACAATGCGCTGTCTGCTTAGCAGAATTCGAAGACATTGAAATCCTGAGACTACTACCTAAATGTAAACATGGGTTTCACATAGAGTGTGTAGACTTATGGCTTGAGCATCACTCAACATGCCCTTTATGTAGGCAAAGAGTAACAGTTGATGATCTTACGACTATTACAAACTCGTCGAGGATGATGAGCATGAGGTTCATTATTGCAGGGCAGAATAAACCTGCAGATGATACAGGGGAGGCAGGGGCATCATCAAGTTTCGAGCTTTTCTTAGAGCGCGAAACTGATGGTCAAAGCTCAGCTTCAATGTTTAGTATAGGAGGAAGTTTTAGGAGAATTCATAGTGCAAGAAAAGAAGAAGAAGAAGAAGAAGAAGAAATGCATTTGAAATTAGTACAAGAAAGTAATAAAGAAAATATTGGTCTAGGAAAAGTTTTGCATAGGCTAAATCATCAGATTGTTGTATCAGATATCGTGTTCAAGAATCGTTGGAGTGATGTTAGCTCTTCAGATTTGATGTTGTTAAACTCAGAAATGCTCGGCGTAATGTCAAGCAATAGATTTCCTTCCTCCAACTTGTTGAGCTACCAAAGTGGCGAACATGATCAGTGTAAGATCATCAACTTAAGGGAAGAAATGGACAAGAAATGTAAATTTGATCATAAACTTGGTCAACTTCAGAGGTCTAATTCAAATCCTAGATCGAAAAACGACATGGGTTTCGAACATTCAAGTGACACGAACACGAACACGAATTTGAATCCTCCACGACGAAGTAGTTTGATCCCAGCTGATAAGAGGGCAATGTCAGAGATCACTGCATTTTCGAGGTTTAAGGATTTGATGAGCATGAAGAATAAGCTAAGACAATGCTTAGCAAATTCAGAGATTAATAATAATAATAATAATAATAATAATAATAATAATAATAATAATAATAATAATAATAATAATAATAATAATAATAATAATAATAATAATAATAATGATGATGATGATGATTATGTTAGGGAAGACATAATTAATAGAAGAAAAAAATGGTTTCCCATTGCTAAAAAAACAGTTCAATGGTTTGCTAATAGAGAAAAAAACAGGTCTCAGCAACAGCACTTTCAGGATAGTCAGACATTGGATGTATAGTTTTTTTTTTTTTTTTATCCAAATTATTAAATATAGATATCTTCAAAGAAATACAAACTTTTTGTCATATCAAAATACTCTTCTCTTTACACTATGTTTTCCTCTTTTTAGTTTTTCTTTTTGGAATGTGTACATATTACAGGAAATTCTAGTGATATTTTTGTACAAATAATATGTCCCTTTATTTATAATTATAACATCTACTACATATTTATTAGTTAAAAATCATGCAACATATACAGTCTAGATTAAATTAGTTGATTTGAGATTTAAAATTCATAATATGAGTATTTATCAAGTTATAAACGGTTTTTCTAACAACTACGTACCAGGGACAATTGCTTGAAAACTCGAGTATTGTATTTTTAAGGAAATAAGGTGACAATTAAGTAAGATATCTTTCCATACTTAAATAGTGTAAAACTCAAAAATAAAATACAATCCCTTTTTGAGTTCATTATTCCTCTTTTTTAACAACGAAACTATCAAAAAAGAATATATTTAAAGCTTAACAGACACTTATTAAGAAATCGACTTTAAAATATATAACTTTTTCGATATCTTATTTTTGACGGGAGCTTTATCGGATATAAATTCTGGTAATAACCTCCATTATTTTCCATTCATGGAAACCTTTTTTTTTTTTTTTCCAAAGTCTTGTTTAAGAAGTCATAGTAGTATACATTATACAAGCACACCATACAAATATTAACATGTATTTAATATTACTAATATGATAATTAAGGGGGACAAGAAACTGCAGCAGCCAGAGCCACCCTGGTTTCAAGAGTCAAGAAACTAAATAATCAAGTCATACATGACATTGTTGTCTTTTAGACGGCCAAAAATTTGATTTACTTGAAAGATTCTCTTTATTAACAACAGAACTGTTTTTAATTAAGATAATGACATCTACAACAAGGTGCTTAATTAAACTGAAAGATTATATTACAAAGTTTGTGAATAGGACAAGCTATTAGATAATGCACTTGACCTATTTTAAACCAACCCTATCAATACTCGGATTGTTTTTGCATCTAAAGGGATCCTCTTATTAAGGGCGGTGATATAGACAAGATTTGATCTCGGGTCAAGCAAATCGTCAATCTAGCTAATGGTACCACTTGTTCACTTTGATGACTCAATAACCAATTAATCCACTAGCTACTACTGTATCTTTAATATAACTACATACACTATTCGTTATAGTCAAATTTATATACAAATTGCGCAAAGTCAAACTGTTTCAATTGTTCTACAACTGAGAAATGACAAGTTGGTACATGTTCATAGTTTCACACCAAGTACATACCCAACCCTACCAATAAGATCAAGTCTATGAAAGCAAGTTGTTTTTCCATTAAAAAATTATCTAGGAAAAAGAAGATGAGAATCATAAAAATTAGCACCTAATGCATGGTTCGTCAATTATTCATTAACCCCAACTTCTCCATCGATTTGTGTTGTTTAAACATCAATCAACTTTTCCATCTAAGGAATTGAATAATCAGCTGAGTTCGAATTATTTTGGCTTATTTGATTAGCAACTTGTTTAGATTAATCACAAGTTTATAGTTATAAAACAAACCAACAAGTGCGAATTGAGGTGGTTTAAATGCCTTTAATAAAAGAATTGAAAGTGAAGGATATGAGGTTCTTTGGGGTATGATAATTATTGTTTTTTTGCCTCATATAATTGATGTTCAAACTCGCTCCTCTTAATTAAGGATAAGACTTTGTTTGATGAAAAAAAAAACTTTGAAATTGTTAGATCAGACTTCTTGCAATCTTTACATGAGTCGCCAACCTTAATAAATAAAAAAAAAAAAAAAAAAAGTCAATCACGAACCATTATTATTCAAGAATATTTGACAACTTTGTTTGGATATTTAGAAAAATACACGCAATTATGAAAAATTATTTAGGGAACTTTTTGTTTTTGGTAAATAGTTCATTTTTTATTTTACTTTTGGCATAAACAAAACCGTAAGGGTAGCAATATAAAAAGGATTCGATATTAGGTCTTAGATACCACCCAAAACTTTAACCAAGCTAGTTGACATCCACTTGGTAATCAGGCCGGTTGATGCCCTAGCTAATTATTGCATGATGGAATACAATTTTGAGCTTTTGAAAGAAAATTCATAATCAAATGTTCTTCTATTAATTTTTCTTTTATATTATCAAATCTTCTATTAATTTTGTAAAATTCAGAACATGGAATAAGATTCATTTAATTGTGGGTGTCATTTAGCAATGTGGAATGAAACGGTTTTTTTTTTTTTTTTTTTTTGATAGATTAGTATAAACGAATCAGTGTATATTGATATGATGTTTGGTGTAGACAGTTAGATCATCCATGAGGTCAACGGTTGAATATTCCATTACTCATGCTCATGCATGAAGTTATGAAATTAGACCATACAAAATTTGAGATAACTAATTAACGTTACTCATTCAGTCATTTGTCTTGTTATATAGATCCTATGTCATTTGCTTTAGTCTCAACCACAATTTGGGTGATCCCTTTAAACCTACATACACTTGTTTCTTTGAATTTTTTAAGAGGGCTATAAAATAATACGTATAAAACAAATTCTAATTAGTTTAATGTCATGTTGTTAAACAATAAACATTGCTATCCAAGATTATGTATCTCATAGGGTCACAATTCGTATTGTTGATGTCAATTGGAATTAGTTTTTATGTGTTATGACTTCATTATTATGAGCACTAATTCCTCAATGGGTTTTGGTGAAAAAAAAATAAGGCCTATGTCAAAATAAAAATATTTATAGCCATTTGACAATTTCAAAACAATAGCAAAATGTATGTAAGAGTAGTTTGAATTGATATACGGGACACATTTATTAAAGGTCGTAACCTTGTGAGTAATCTTCACACCCTTTCTCCTTTCTCTTCCGATTTTTCTTTCTACATAATTGCATAAGTATTTAAGATTTATCATATATATTCATAGTTAGAATTAATTTTCGGATCGTCCAGAATTACGACCTTTTAACTCTCTTAATTCCATTACATATTTTCTTAGGATAGCACAATTTGAACGACTATTTTTCCACAAATTTGTAAGTCTATCATGATATCAGAGCCTCCATACTTAAAATGCTAGCAAAAATAAAAATAAAAATATAGTTAAAAGTAAAAATCAAAACTCCTCAAAACCTTAGAATAAGTTATTGTAATTGAAGTGTTAACCAAACATGGTGGATACGAATATACGATTAATGGAATCAATTTCAGGTGCGTCGCTTTACCCCTATCGGAAAACGACTCTTCCTACCATTTTGTTTTTTAAAAAAATAAAAAAATAATAGAGAACAACAGACGAAGTAGTTTGATACTCTCATAGTTTGATACTCCCAAAAAGCATAGGGTGGCCATGAGGTCTAGCAAAATGAGAACAACAACAAATTTTTAAAACATAAATCCTAAAATACAGCATCAATGTGTTCCTCAACATATGCTGTATATTTGCATTACGAAGTCATGAAAAAAATATTACGGAGTACTGTATTTCATCCGTTCATACTACTTGCAACAATAAAACTTCACATAATTTGTACAAAGTATGTTAATTTTGACCAAAAATTAAACTGAAATACACAAAAAAACAGTGAAATACTTGTATGTTACTCGTATTAGATTAGTATTGTCGTTTAAATTTCAAACATTATTTTTTTATATATATATTTTCTCATGAATTCATAATTGCATATATATAGTCACATTTATGCATTGACTAGTGTTTTCAACCACAGCAAGTATTTTAAAACGAAGTGAATCAAAAAAAAGTATTTTAAAACGAAGTGAATATAACAAAAAAAGGGAACATGGACCATGCAATTGGAAACCTAAAATTGGACCACAAATAAAGGATCATCTCCTGCTGATTTTCGTCACATATATCAACTGCTTCAATAGTTGTTCAGTCATCATTTTCTTAGTTTTTGCAAACTATCTGCAACTGCTCCTCACACTTGTCTAACGGCACATCATCATGAATTATGTTGTATTGTTGTATAATCAATTCAATCTATACATTTTCTAATAATAAGACAATAGGGTCGATTTCATAATGTTTAAAAAAGTATATAACAGACTACTAATTTTGAATATATTTAATGTATATGGCCTCTTATTTTAGGCTTTGGTAAGCTTAAAGGTAAGCGCGATAAGATGCTTACATTATAGGTTATCATAATAGTCAAAGACGGTGGCTTGTGCATCAATCTCATCTACTAGACTGAATAAAGATCGTATTTTCCTGTTTTATAAACTTATTCTCATGAAAATTTTACGAGTTTTCAAATGCCTCAAGGACTTGTTGTTTCTTCGTTAAAGGAAAAAAACAGCTCTATGACCAATAAGATCAGGTAAGTTCAAATAAGCATAATCAAATACAAATCACGGCTACAAATTAAAAGAATGCAAATATAGGGCTAAAAGAGTGTTTGCTCCAAGAACACAAAGATGATGAAATTTATCATGGTGCGGCAGTCTAAATCAAGCAGCAGGAAAGGCACAATTTGGTAGAAACATATACATAATTACACATCCCTTCAATTTCAATGGATTGTCAACACAACAATAAATCCGAGTAAATCTAACCATTTTTTTTTTGGAAGGGATCCGAGTAAATTTACCTCCTTTTTTTAAGGGATCGGAGTAAATCTACCTACATCCACCATTAAATTACGGTGGGAGGCTAAATTCACCTCTAAAGGAATTCATGAGAAAGTGAAAACTCATTCCTTTACAAACTATACTTATTTACAGGCATCTAGCTCTGCTTAAATGGTATTCAAGGCAACTAAGGTAACCCAAAAAAAGAGGATGATTTCGGCACTATCATTCCTCTTGTACAGAACAAAAAAGGAAGGGGGAAAGAAATGATAAGATTTTGGACCTTAGTCAGTGGAATCAGTGCAGCTTTCCCCCTAGCTATTTTACTATACGATCATCATCCAAACGACAATATAGAGGGAAGTTCACACCTTGAGTAGAGTATTGGTTACCAATCTTCAAGCCACTCCGGTGTGTTGAGTTCTTCAAAATTCCGACGGGGAGAAGACAGTGGCGGGGAAGTATCACCAACGTAGCTCTCTAAATGGTGACTTATGCGAGAAACAATTTCATGAGGGACGGGGACAGTACGATTTACTAGCCCTTCCCAA